TGTTGTGCCTCAGCATCACTCCAACAGTGTGGAGTTCATTGTGTCGTTACTGTATTACGTTGTTCTGGCCAGCCTGCCTTGCTTATGTCAACAATATCAAAGGAACCTCTTGCACTGCCAGCAGCTTTGACACAGAGTTATTGGCTTTTGTGCCTTAACTGTCGGGTGCCTTCGGTCATCTCATCATCCACCTGGCGCACCTGTATAAATATACGAAAAATCTCCGGCTTGACAACGCCACTCTTAGCAAATCATTCTATCGTAGTGGGGCAACTAATTGGTGAAACCCACCAAGCACTACTGAATAGGTCAATACACTAATATCTACGTTTTAGGGAACATAAGATGAGTCTATAAGAAAATAAATAACTAGACAAGTTAGTACAAATTGTTATAAAACTTTTTTAAGCCCATAGGCCGCTGTTGATTCGTCACGGAAATTTTCAGATTATTCCTTTAGATTCTATTCCAAAAACATTTTTAAAGAAAACAAGTTTGAATACACGAATACCACTTTTTCTAAGCCTATATTACTAAACAATATAAAGAGATTAAATAATTTCGCGAATAAATTTCATTAAATCTTGTTACTATGTACTCGTAAGCCTCGGTTCGGCAAAGCTGGCTTCCTTTCGTGTCATTGTTTTGTGCTGGGTCCATCGATTCCATTGCAGTCCCGTGACCCGCCTATTCTATGATTATGTACAAATAAAAAAGGTAAAGGCCTCAATTACATTTTTTTAACACGAGTCAGCGAAAAGATTGTGATTTCGGTAGGAGATGTGTACATTCGTGGGCTTGGCCATAGTTTTTTTGGTTTTATACTCACTCAGCCCCAATTATGGGGTTCCGTGAATAGTTTTGGAACCAAACAAACAAAGTAATTTCAAAACTTTTCAATTTTTTTTTCTTTTACGAAGACTATTATTCTGCGCTATAGAACTTAAAGTTCTAGTTTGTTTAATTTTATACATTTTTTAATGGTATGGTTAATGGGACTACTTTTCACCCCCATTCTATTGTATTCCTTAAATACATATGCGTAGGCAATTCTACTTTGAAAACCATGTTCCTGCTTATATTTTTATTAGTTTTTATGCATACAAATGAATGTACTATATCCTATTGCTTTAATAGCTTTACTGTTTACGTGTGCGTCGGATAAATATCGATAACTACATGTTATGATTGTTTGTATCTGTTAATATTTGGCAAAAATATGTTTGATATTATAGACGCTCCAAAATAAAATTACTTTGACCGCTACCATTCTGACCAAAACGAAGGGTTCACTTCGATCGAGTCGCCGGCAGCATCATCTAGGAAAGATTTATGTCGTCTATGCCATTCGCCGTGCGCTCCCTGTTTCTCTATCCATTATACGAATTGTCTGAAGCATTAAAAAAACACAAAAAGGAAGAAAATGATGAATTTCCATACTATGCGTGCCAGTTTCAAATGCTTTCGCGCTGGCCATGGCTCTGGTCACCCTCGTCGATCCGGCTACCTTTCGTTCTGACCAGCCGATGGCTCTGACAGCACCAGCAGTAGCAGCAGCGGCAGTTTAAAAGTGCGCACTCCCGACGCCGAGCATCGTCATGCCCCAGTGCAGCGCCAAGTTGCGACCAGCCGATGGCTCTGACAGCACCAGCACCAGCAGCAACAGCGGCAGCGGCAGTGGCAGTTTCAAGGTGCGCGCTCCCGAAGTCGAGCATAGTCATGCCCAAGCGCAACGCCAAGAGTGCCGCAGCCAAATCCCCGCCAGCACGACGAGCGGTTCGTGTCACTGATTTTGACGACGCCGAAGTCTTCCCATAGGGTGGTTGAGGGTGGCCAAGAACTGATGCTGCTTGGTCGCGGAGCAGCAGTGCAATGCCATTGTGTTGTGGATACGTGCGCCGCTCCTCTGCGGCAACTCACCCACATCGTCCCCAGCACCCAGCACCCAACACCCACACCCACAAACACCCACACCCACAAACACACACACACACACATCCCGGGCGCACACGAACTCAATGCATGCGCGCTCACACACGGTGTACGTGTTTCCCTTCCGTGTATACAACTGGAATTGGGGGTTGAAAAAGCATCAAACTGTCTTTTCTCTTAGCCTGCAAAAAGTTTTCATTATGAACGAAAATCAGTTGTGGATTCATTCGATTCGGGACGTTCGAGGCGGAAGTATATACCAACGCTTGGCCTACAAATAATTGATGGGCTTAGGTCGCGAAAGTCGTTCGGAGTTTTTGGCTGCTATTTTGTAAATGTTGTGGCCTTTTGTTCCTGTTTCTATTGATTATTTGGTTTTTTTTGTGAAATGCATGAGTGCTTTAAGGTTTATGTTAAATCCTATTTATAGGAATTTCTTCAAGTGCCCTTGTTAATTATAAAAACAAATAATAGCAGGAGCAATCCTTAGACCAGCTGTTCGGCAAACAAATAAGTATGGAAGAAATGGATCAACACTAAGCCGACTATAATATTCACTGGTAAGAAAATTTGGCAAACATAATTAAACAAACAGTGCACAAATTAAAATTGTTGATTATAAATATCGACAGTAAATACACAGCACATAAAACATACATAACAAAGAGACCAATTTCACTGCACAAGTGTCTGTGACAAGCGCTTTGCTTATATTCGTTGGTTTTACATTATTATTTATATTCATATAGGATTTATAATCATAATATTTTAATATATATAAAATAGTTTTACAAAGAAACTTAGGAACTTATAGCTTAGGAGCTATAGCAAAACAAAAAACAAAAAAATATTTTTTTTTTTATATATTGGCGAAGATTTTTAGTTAAAAAATTATATACATTTTTAAATTGAATTTCTTATCTTCTAATTTATATAAATATCATCATCATAGCATCAAATATCTTCATTTAGTGTCAATTGCATTATTTTTTTAGTGTAATCTATTTTATATATCATATAATATATACTTTTTGCTCTGGTGTATTTGGTCGGCCAAGCAGTCAGTCAGGCGGTGATTTGTTGACTGAGCACAACATCCAGGCACGGCCCGCAAATGTTACTGCTCTGGACTGTATGTGATTTTGTTCTTGTAATTAAAGCTCAATTTGCATGCGTTTGGTCGCAAGCCTGGCAACCAACGAAGCAGTCAGTCAGACAAACAACCATCGAACTATATCTTTGTCACGGTCACGGTTTATTGCCCTCTTGCAGTACTTTTGGGCCACATTTAAATTGCAAGCATGGGCCGTTTGTGAGGGAGTGTTAGCTCCGCATGCGCACTTTAATATATTGACTCTACAGCCTTGTCTGCCATATTTAAAAGGCCTCCCAAAGGTTTTAGGGCATACTTGACTAGCTAAACCATCTCACTTATATCTCACTTTTTGTATACTTTTGCTATGCCGAGGTCTTTTCGTTTGTTGCTCTTTTAGAAGTATTTAATACATTTAATTTTAATTATGAATGCAAATGGACACATCCATTGTTATTGTTCCGCACAGGAGATCACACCATAAGTGAAAGCATCTAAACAGGTGGGAAGTACCAAACATACCAAACGAACCAAATTAGTTTTTAGGGCATTTTCGTATGTCAACGCAAACCGAACTTGGCTGTTGGAACAAAAGCATGTGATAAATTCAATCGGGGAGAGGTAAACGGTAGCTCCGGATATGTGCGTGGCATTCACGCAAGCCCATTCATACTCTGCGACTGTTCCTGTGACTGGTGACAGTACACCCTGCGTTTGTCAACTTCCGCTTCATTGGTTGGTGTGGGTAAGTGTTTGCCTCAACAAAGAGGTTTCACAACATCCGCCATCACATCCGTTACCACTCCTGTTGCTAGTGTGGTGAATAGCGACATTAAAAAATGTTAAAATTAAAACGAAGTTAAATAAACTTTGCGGGTTTTGTATTTATTCGCATTCTTGTCGGGTTTTTCTCGTAAAAACTATGTATTAACTTTATGACTTGCTCCAACGCATTCAAGAACTCTTTAAATAGGCACAACTTACATAATATAAAAAAAATATCACTTGGCATACATAAACTTCTGTATTAAAGTTCTTAATATAATTGGATAATTAATTATTACTGTAAATTGAATTCGCCCCGCGACATGTCCCTACATCGAAAATACCTTACCTTTCAAATACTGACGGAGTAATCAGTTGCTTAACACAGTTACTTAAGCTCGAATATTAACTCAACGTCTTTAAATGACCTAAGTTCACTGTAGCTGTGCGTTGTATCGGTTTAAACATAAGTACTGAAGTTATATTACATTATTCGATACAATACTTATAAAGCTTGCCTAGTGAAACGCCATCGTTGTTGCTGACTTTGTACCCAATAACTCGATTTACTTCCATTTTACGGAGAGAAGGCACGCCACCTTTTAATGCCAATTTGAGTGCATTAGATTCAAAGTGGCTGGTGGCAAACTTTGTTATTGCAGCTGAGTACAAATATCCGTACATGTATTTTCCTTTTCCACATGCATATATTTGACTCACGGTCTTCATAAGGCAACTGACTAAAGTTCTGCCTTTTTGCATCATTTCTGCTTTATTTGTTCCATTTATAGCGCGGTTTAACTTATATTTTAGGAACCCGTGAAACCCTTATTTTATTTTTTTGCAGACTTTGCAACTGTTTAAATTTGTAGTTATAACATAAAGACAAAAACAAAATAATTAAAAATAGTAAAGTGCAAAAGTATATTTATTTCAATGTTCTGGCACGGATACAATACCAGACACAGATAAACAGAGCAATATAATAATAACATAAAAATAAAATGCAAGCACCTTTTAACCTTAGAAAGGTATTCTAAAAGAAAATGTCTTGATCTACTTATTTTGTTTTTGTTTGTTAAAACCTGAGCATTGTTGGCTTGTTCTAACTCAATACCCAACAGCAGTAAATTTCTGAAATAAATATAGCCAGAATCCATATTTATGTAGTGGTAGTACCTTAAACGTAAATTTTCTCTGATCATGAATATAGATTTTGGTAAACCAAGCATAAAATTTAATTTCAAACTGAGCGGTGTGTAATTATCTAAATTATACATTTACAAGAGCCCACGGAGGCATGCAATCAATACAAGCAAGTGAGCTATATTGATCCAATAAAATTTTTTTTCATTTTGAGGGACCAGGGCTATGAGTTTTTCAGTTACAAGTTCTTCGGACATCATGAAAGTAATCTTAGACGCTTCGGATTTTCGATTTGTAGCGGGCACAACAAAAGCTTCCAAATGATCTTCACAATTAATCTTCAAATAGTTTCTGTCAACCGGCACCATAAAACTGACCATCTCTGAAGGATACAAGTTGATGGCGTTATCGAAGTGCATAACATTATTTTCGTATATCCTTGAAATGGGGGCCAGAGCGCCATCTAAATACACTTTCCACGACAGCGATTCCGACAAGCTTAACGTCTTTAACTGGAGCAAGTTATCAAAAGAGAGTATTCTGTTTGTTAAGCTCGGGGTAATCTTTACACCGAGATCTTGCACATTTTGGTCAAAATTGAATTGGGGTTTACATGATAAGCAGTAGTTTAAAGGGGAATTTGGTATTTTGGGTGTTTCCAGTGCTTGCAGGTGGCACACTTCTAATTTCTCCTGATTATTTTGATTAGATACAATTACTCGATTTCGTTTATTCGTCGATGCCAAAGTGTAAATAATTCGCATAAGCTCGTTCATTGAAAGGTTAGCTGAGAAGTTGTCGTCAATCTCTTCGTCGCAAATTTGGAGCTTTGAGTCAGCTTCGCCATCTTTTCGCTTTAGTAGCCTTTTTTTATTGCCTTTTAAAAATGCTCGACAGCCTCTACAAACATTTCTATTTATTTTTAAGATTTATCAAAACTGTTTGTATATAAGACTTACAATTGCATCCACATTATTTAAGATTATTAAAAATGAGGCACACTTGAGGCTGCGCTGTTTTTACGACACAATTTGGACACAATGTACTGTATTTTTTGGAGGTAAACCGGCCTGTGGCTATACTTAAATTTGAGACTTGTGTATCACGGCTAACTATGAAGCAATGCACGACTCAACCATAAACCTAACAACAATGTTAAACAAAAAAAATGCAGTTGTATTGTTTATTTATAATTATTATTTTATGTTTAAGAGAGCACTAGCAGGGCCGGTGGAAGGTGTATACCGGGTGTTGAGCACTCCACACGCCAAATTGAAAATTTGTGATGTCATCACCCCACTCAAAACTGTTTCTCCGGCCCTGAGCACTAGTGAAATTGTTTTATAAGCAAAACAATGCAAATATAGCTATGAGGAGGCTAGACTTGACCCTTCCACATTGTGTTCATTTTCGTTGGCAGTCATTATACCCTTGCAGAGCAAAGGGTATTATAATTTCAGTCAGAAGTTTGCAACGCAGTAAAGGCGACACCTCAGACCCCATAAAGTATATATATTCTTGATCAGCATCACGATCTGAATCGAAATATGTATGCCCGTCTTTCCGTTCCTACGCAAGCTAGTAGTTCATTTTTAAAGCTTTCTTGTGAAAGTTTCAACAAAAATTGTTTAGTTATTGCACGCAATATATACATATGTCGGAACGGGCTGGATCGGCTGACTATATCGGATAGCTCCCATACGAGAGAATAAAATGAAAAATTCTCACGCCGATGTTTTTAATCAGATCGACTTGGCGTTTTATAACTACTATTGGATTTTGGATTAAATCTTACCAAAATCGGATAATTCAATCATATAGCTGTCATAGGAAAGATCGAAATAAATATGTATAAATAATGGAAAAAAAATTATGGTTTTTAATCCCACGAGCATGATTTTCAAAATATAGTTTTTTAATAACCCTTGAATTAAAAAAAATTTTCATTAAAATCCGACATCGTTAGCTGCCATAGGAAAGATCAAAAAACTTAACAGAAATAACGAAAATAAAAAACATCGTTGTTTTTCATCAGACAAGCATGATTATTGAATTACACATATGATAATAGTTCTTGTTTATTGTTCACTTACCACTTGTTTCCTTTGGTTTTATAGATTTAAAGGTTTTAAATGCATCTTTTAATGGATTAAATATTATAAACACTTTGGCACATGCCAAAATAAGTTGCCTGCCAGCGCTTTTTTCCCTGTAAAGAACATTTTGTAAATATGTATGTATGTCGATATGTGCGTAAAAATCACCAAGTGCACACATATGCACCTACATACGTACTTGTCCCGAGGAGCACCTTTGCATCGAAACACCGAAAATGTTGGTTTAAACGCGAAATATTGACCGAAATGTATTTAAACCCCGAGTATTACTTGTAATTACAATGTTTATTGCCTTTTTAGGCAATTTAGGCAATAATTCCGTGGGGGAGCGTCACAAAATGGAGGATGCTTTGCAATAAGAAGAAGAAAACTACGCTTGGCCTGAACACACTTAACACACACACTGAAAACACTTATTTTCACTTTTAAAACGATCGGAATTTAATAAAACGTATTACCCAAACCGAGTATAAGTTTCACTTGCACTGAATATTGTTTTTTTTATAACTTTTTGACACAAAAATACGCGGAAAATGAATTAAAATACATTTTAACGGAGGCTAAGCGATGCTTCTTGCAAGAGAGGAAAACTGACTGACAAAAAGAGAGAGAGGCAAATCATACGAGAGAGCTTTGATCAAGGAAACAGTTAAAGCTGCTGCGCATATTTGCCATTCCTTTTGTCAATCCTTCGTAAGAGAATAAAAATTGTAGGTGTAATAAAAATAAGGAGAAACCAGCAGTTGCATTTTATGATAAGCTTGCTTAATTGGTTTGCGAAGTCAAGGGAACTAAAAAATTGCTTTCATCTAAAATGTGAGTGACAAAACCTATGAAATATTCGTTTAATTTCAATATCATGTAGAGATCAGACTGTTAGGCGAAACCTGTGACAACACGAGTACCAGAAAAAGAACCAGACAATTGTGAAGAAAATGGTGTTCAAGGAGCGGAAGTAGAAACTGACACGTTTTGCGAATGAGAACTGTGACTCATAAAGCCTATTAGAATACAAGTGGAATAATTGCAAAGATCGGATGTAATCTAAATTATTTAAAAGGTATTAGTGAACAACAGCTGGGTATTAACTCTCCTAAATAAACATCGTATTCTCTTTTTAGTTCTTAACACAATGATTACAAGCTAAGCCAAACTTTGCCCCCTTACCCTTATTAAACTTCGAATTGGTTTCATATATCACGAACTGCTGCGATCATCAGTAACACTGTAGCCATAAGAAACCTGTAAACGATAACATTTTCTGATGCCCAGTCATCATAATTTTTCAGCGATCATTTGTTTGAACAGCAGTCGGCAAAAGTTTTCCCTGGCCGTAAGCAAAGATAAATCATCCAATAGATTTATTACGCAGGGACACTATAAACTTACCACGAAAACTTTGGATAGGCGTAAATCTTGGCCATTTCGAACCTTGTAGAATCGGCGCGGAACTCCCCGCTTATCTTTAGTGCACACCTTTGCTTGTCCGCTGACTAAGTGCCGATAGATCGTACAAAGCGTTTTTCTATTTTCTTTTTATACCCTTGCAGACCAAAAGGTATTATAATTTCAGTCAGAAGTTTGTAACGCAGTAAAGGTCCCCATAAAGTAAATATATTCTTGATCAGCATCACCATCTGAATCGAAATACGTCTGTACGTCTATCCGTCTCTCCGTCTGTCCTCCTGTCTGTTTCTACGCAAACTTGTCTCTCAGTTTAAAAGCCTTCTTGCTGAGACTTTTCCAAAAGTTGTGTAGTTATTGCACGCACTATATATATAAGTTGGAACGGGCCGAATCGACCGACTATATCGGATAAATTCTCACGCCGTTATTTTTGATCAGATCGACTGGATTTCTTGACTATTGAATTTCGGATTAAATTTGATCAAAATCGTATAAGTCTATCTATAACTATATAGCTGCCCCAGGAAAGATCGACAAATAAATATGTATAATGGGAAAAAAATTATAACGTCATTGTTTTTAATATCACAAGCATGATTTAGAGCTTTTTAATAACCTTTGAATCGAGAAAAAATTTCATTACAATCGGACAACGTTATCATATAGCTGCCAAGGGAAAGATCGAAAAATCTTTATAGAAATAACGGAAAGAAAATTATAACATCGTTGTTTTTCATCAGACAAGCATGATTTTTGGAATATAAAGTTTTCATATTTTCATATAGCCGTCATATGAACAAAAGTCGAAAATATGGAAAATAAATAGAAAAATCGTCCTAGCTTCGATTCTGTTTAGCCTTTATGTAATTCGTTCGACATATTTGATGATTGCAAGGGTATATAAGCTTCGGCTTGCCGAAGCTAGCTTCCTTTCTTGTTTTTATTTAATTTTTTAGGAACAATATTTACTTCATTATTAACTACCTTATTTTACGTGGTAAAATAAATTTTAAATTTGCGAAAACAAAAAAAAAAAAAATGACTCTGTACAATTAAAATTTATAACCAAATTATTTAACCAATTTATAAAATTTTCAGAGAAAATTAACAAAAACCAAACATAAAGTGATCGGCAAGGACATAAAGTAATTCAATGTATTCGCGAAAGATTGATTCCAATAAAACAAAGTTACAAAAATCCTCACTGAAGTCGGGTTTCGTTAACAGCGGGCTGTTTTATTGTTATTAGCAAGTTCGTTGTCGACGAAACCTGCATGCTGTGTGGAAACTCAACATTACAAGCAGCCGTTACGATCTAATTAAAATAAAGCCTTACTCTGAAATCCAAAATCGTCGTCCAAATAATACTTTCGGAAGAGCAAAGTGAACTGGCTAATGGATTGTCTGAAGTAGGGTTACATTGTAAAGTGGACTTACCTTCAGAGATTTTGGTCGCCGTATAAAAAAGACATAAAAAAACATAAAATAATTTTTTTTTGGAATTTTGATCTTTTAATACGCCAGGACTCAGGCAAAATTGGTATACCAAACGAAATAAATAATAATACTAAATAAACGGTCAAACCTTTTGCTTTCAAAGTTGATGAATGTTTTGCTTTAATTGTTTAAAACATCCATAGCTCTCAGACTTTTTGCTCAAAGTTTGAGTGAAGGGGACTTATTTTGAGAACGCACAAATGGGTTAACAGCATAGCTGGCAAATATGATAACTGCTATTCTCGCAAGCAGAACAAAACGGTTAACAGTTATTTGCGAGCTATGGTTAATAATTATTTGCGAGCTATAGGTAACTGGATTTTGCGAGCTATGGTTGTAAAACTTTGAGGCTTATCAAAGCTTGTTATCCCTCCTTTTTTTTAAATTTTCTGATGAAATATGTATACATAGTGATTGAAGTTGTATTATTTTAATATTATTTTGCGTAAGCAAATCAGTAATTTCAAGTTGATTCTCATAATCATGGAATATAACTAATACTCTCTTTACTTTCACCATATTAAAAATGTTATTCCTTTTTGTACTCTATGTTATTGATAATTTATTTAATTTTCATATACAGTAGAGATTGAACGATTTATATACATAAGAAAGTTCCAATTTCGACTGTTTTTACTTTGGGTTTATTTTATTGGCTGACAGATGATTATAAAATAAAAAGACCATCGTAAAATGTACTTTACAGTTTTTCAGTTAATTCATTTGTTTGCTGACTTAAATTGTAAAAGGTAGTCATTACCTAGATATTTTAGCCATTAATTATTCAATTGAATAGGTATTTGCAGTAGTTTTCAAAACGAAGGTTTACTTACATATTTACGTGTGGGTTTCTAAGTATTTTTAGTAATGCATAAGTTGATTTCCTGGTTATGATTTTTGTTTTAACTAAACAAGCGACAATTTTTTTTGAGTCTTTCTTTTGATTTATCCATTTTATTCGTACAATTTGGGAACAAATTACGTGTTAATAGAAACGACGTTCAGACTATAGTATGTCTAACTTTGGTATTATTATGATTGGTTATCTCTACTGACGTGATAAAATATTGACTATCGAAATGTTCCTGTACCTTTGTATGTAAAAACATAATTTCTGGGTTAGCTTCTTCAGTTTGTTAGATATAAAGTGTTACTGTGTTTTTAATATAAATGTTGTCGCAATAAGGAGTTCATATTGATTGATTTAGGTGTTAATCAGATACGGTGCTTAAATATGACATTGCATCAAAACTATGTAAATTATATAAGATTTATATTTAAGTCATTTTTATCCGTTCTCTTCTGTGTTATGTCTTAGATATTTAATGAGTTATAGTCTTTCAACTTTTGAAAAACTACAAATAAATAGTAATTGTTCACCTTCCATTTCGCCCGTGTTTGGATATATATTTATATATTTTTGATTCTAAAAAATTCAAATTTACTCAAAATTTTAATAAATTATTTTAAGTGTTTAGACTGTTGCACATAGTATTTTTGTCCTATACGACTTATCCATTAATCTGCATAAGATTACTTGCATACGTACGTGCGTATGTAGTAGCATTTTTTTTTATCTTTTTAGCTATATGGTTTTGATAACACTTTTCAGTTTTGTTTAACCGCACATCATATAAGTACGAATTTTAACGAATATTTTTTATCACTGTTTGTCGGGAAACAATATAAGCCACCGTTTTCTACAAGCATCTAATTATTTTAGCTTGACTGCATTTTTATTTAAAGGAGGGAAATACTTTAATTATTTAAATGTAAATTCAAGCTCCCAAAAATTGGTATTCATTCAAACAGTAATTTTGTTTTTCTTTTTCAAAAAGTTCTAATTAAATTGTGAAATAATATGTGTACACATAGTACAAAAAAAATAACTTAATGAGTGAATAATTTTAAATATTCTATAACAAGAGAAGAAAACTTGTTTAATGATTAGCATACCTTAGTAAATATGTATTCTCTCATAAACAGATTAGATATCTCAAAGGTATTTCTTAGATTATTTCAATAAATATTAATAAGCTGAGTTTTAAATGAATCAGCGTCTAACCTATATATTAAGGATTTTATTAAATACATTTTCCAACATATTGTTTTTCGCAAGTTTCTGACTTAAATGTCAGGAAGTCCTTACTGAACATATTTTTTATGGCATGGCAATAAAAAAATTATATTCGAGAAATCCCAATGCTTTACCTACCTTTACCATACGTAGTGTTATATTTTGTAAAATTCCTTATTTGAAAATCTAATGTAGACAAGCAATTTTGTACATGTCATTAAAAATTTTGTTGTTTTCCTATATAGTCAGTGATTATTATCTGCTGCTGCTTCTATATCATAGAATATTTAAGAATGGATAAAATGCAGCTATGCTGGAAGTACTAGTAAAATTTAGTATCACAGTATTTTATATAAGATCAACTTTTGTTTATTCATTATATACCGTTTTGTTTTTTTTTGCAAATAATTCTTAAGTTCAAGTATATCGTCATATTATAATGCTATATATTATTATCATAGTCATGTAATTGAGAAAATCGAACAAGTTATAGCCTTATTTTTTACAAAAAATGCGAATATCTTTTAAATAGGCATCAGAAAATTAAACCAAATATGTTAGATACATTTTTAAAATTTTGATTAAAAAAAATACTTACAATTTTGAAAAAAAGTAAGAGGCGATTAAAAACTTTAAAAATTTAAAGCTTGTTTTGTGCCCTGATTCAAAATAACTGTAAAACAAATATTAAAGAAATTTGAAACCTTTTTAGAACGCAACTCAAGTTATTTCTATTCTTAAATCATGTAATGTTATCTTAATTCTTAAAAACCTATTAAGTCCCAAACACAATATTGCGTATAACCACAATTTTTCATCAAATCGGTCGAAAAAAATAACCAGTTGAATTTACTTGACGACTGGTTGCAAAAAAAATAAACACCAATGGATTAATAACCGAATTATAACACCTTTAAACAAAAAAAATAAATTTTAGGGTTTAAGAAAAAATAATATCTTAAGACAAAGATATACATATATACTTTATTGTATTCGGTTTTTTTTATTGATTCGATTCAGAAGAACTATTCATAAATCAAACAAGCTGTCTTACTCTAAAATCTTGCGGTCTTTTTCATTTTCGTGTTGTGTGAAATTAGTCTTTGAAATAGTCTCTTTCCTACCTCACTGAGTTTTAAATTAGAATGACAATAACAGACCCGACTAGTTTATAAATCGTTCTTTCCATATGTGCAACTGAAAAGGTGAGCCAAATTTACACAAATTGAATAAGAATTTTTCAGGTCACTTTGGAAGAGCAATCATTAAAAATTTTTTTTTTGACAATTAACAATTACAAATTGTCGAACTGGAAGGAATGAGGAAGAAATATGTTTGATGTACAACAAATTGGACACAATTTTTGTCGTCCTACATTAGACGAAATGGCATTGCAAGCTTTATGATAACATTAAGGTAGCTCAAATGTGTCTGTTATGCTATCAAATAGGTAACAATTTTATTATTTTGTTGGTGTTATTTTTTAACTAATACCGTTAAGAAATCAACATAGTTTAATTAACAAATGTTTTTAAAGTTCAATGATTTCAACCAAAAATAAATTTATTTCTTAAAAATTCAAGAAAAACTTATGTTTTATGATCTGAAGAAAAAATCATGTAATGTGGATTTACCTAAAATCTTTATAATACCACGAGTAAACTTATAAAAATTATGCGTGCAAATAAAATTACTTAACATAAAAAGTTGTTTGGTTTATCGTAACTATAGTTTTTACTTGTTGGTCTTTTATGTTTTAAATTATATCCATTTAACTTAAAAAGTCACTACTTAAAAATTAAAAATGTGTGGTTAAAGTGATTGACTACTTGAAAATTGAAAATGAGTGGTTAAGGGGATTTCGTTTTAATGTTTTGAGAAAAATTAAATGAAGAACTTGCTTTAGCAAAATTTTTAATTTAATTGATTTAACAAAAAAACGCCATAATACTCCTTTACTCAGTTCCAGCATAAAAACTACATTCTATTCTATAAATATTCTAGGGCCGCTTTTTATATTTCGAGCATTAGCATCTTTGTGCTTGCTGTTGCATTGGGTACGTAGGGTTGGCAGGTTCTTAATCATGTGAAGTTCATATCGCTGTTTGGTCACCCGACTGTATTTGCATTCTAAGTTATAATTTGTCATAAAACCTACATCTTCTAAATCTATTAATTGCTTGCCGTTACTGTTGTCTTTTATTGAATTATGTAATAGGGATGAATGCAGTCATTCGGCAAGGCCGAATTCGTCTTGTTCAATGGGTTTCTTTAACCAGCTTCCAAGATCCTCTCGCTTGAAAGCGGAAAACAGTTCTAGCTTCGCCGTCTACAAAAAAAAAAAAAGGAAAGCAAAACTGCAGATTAATTTCTATACCTTTAAGGCAAAATCATTTAAACATTTACCTGGTAGTCCTTAACGTTAGCTTTGGTTTGTCCATAGTCTGTAGTAACTTTTCGGACTAAAACACCTGGAAGGTTTGCCATTAAATATCCATATTTAACAAAAAACGCCTGCTTTGTGATGCGGGAAACTTGACCACCAATTGTTCGACCAGTGAGCGAGTTCACTACCTCTAACTCAGTATCTCCAATGGTCCAATTAATCCCAAAGTTCGGAGCTTTGGCCTGATTTCGAGGTTCTGCCGAAGTAACTAATGCCAGGCGTGGCTTATTTAAATGATACGGCGGTGGCAGACCTTGAATAGACTTTTCGATTCGGCCACACACTGCCCGATACATGTGCTCTGGGTGCAACAAACTGCCCAGCACAATCGAATGCAGGTACACTGGTTCAATTATGGAAGACAATAAGGAGCCTTGAATTCCCACGATGTTCCAACGGGCTATTTTATCAGAGCACGACATTGTTAGCAAGCGCTGGCCCTTCACAAAATGAAAAATGTTGAGCTAGTTATTACAGGCTTTATCGGAGGCAGAGAAAACTGGTTACCTGCAATACGCCGTCCCAGGTTTGTATTCCATCGCTGCTTTTAACTGGAATTGTCCCCTCACCGGACTCTATTTTGGTACGCAATTGTCCACGAGCTTTTCTGTTGATAATGTTTATTTCATGTATGACATGTAAGTCAGAAATATTGGCATTATAAAAATGATTTTGAGTTCATAATATTTTTTTTTAAATATGTATTTAAAAACATGTCAAGTCATACTGAAATCAAAGCATAAAATTAATAACTTCAATATAGTAAGGTAGGCTGTTAAAAAAATAATTTCACTTTAACAAACTCTTAAAGTTTTTCTTTCAACTTTATAAACAAAATCGAAATTTTATCGCAAGTACACGTGTAAGACTTTATTTGTTCAGCCATGTATTATAAATAATTGAACAACGGGAATAAAATGTAACGTCGGAAAACCGAAGTCTTTATACCCTTGCAGAGCAAAGGGTATTATAATTTTGGCCAGAAGTTTGCAACACAGTAAAGGAGGCACCTCAGACCCCATAAAGTATATATATTCTTCATCATGATCACGATCTAAATCGAAATACGTCTGTCCGTCTGTCCTCCTGTCCGTTTCTGCCCAAACTAGTCTCTCAGTTTTGAAGCTATCTTGCTGAAACTTTCCCAAAAAGTGTGTAGTTATTGCACGCAGTATGTAAGTCGGAACGGGCCGGATCGGGCGAGTATATAGGGTAGCTCCCATACAAGAGATTGAAATAAAATTTTTTTATAAAATTTAATCCGAAATTCAATAGTAGTTAGAAAATGCTATTTGAAAGAAATCAAGTCGATCTGATCAAAAACAACGGCGTGAGAATCCGGCCCGTTCCGACTTATATACTGCGTGCAATACCTACAAAACTTTTGGGAAAGTTTCATCATGATAGCTTTAAAACTGACAGGAGGACAGACGTACAGGCGTATTTAGATTCTGATCGTGATGCTGATGAAAAATGTACTTTATGGGGTCTGAGGTGTCTCCTTCACTGAGTTGCAAACTTCTAACTGAAATTATAATACCCTTTGCTCTGCAAGGGTATAAAAATTAAATAAATTGTTGCTTATTTTATATACGATTTTTATAAAAGTGTAGTAATTCGGCGTTATACCTATATTTTTAGCTGTCAAAAAACTAATAAATCTTTATATTCACCCTTACTAAAACGATATGTTATGCTGCATGGAAAGCATTTTAGCAAAGCTAAATACCGAAACAACTTTAAGAAAAATAAAAACTGTAAGTCACTAAAAAAGTTAACTATTCTGCTTTTAAATTATTCTTTATATTAAAATAAATAGAAAAATCTCACAACTGCATACATACATTAAAGTATTGATTGTTACACATACACACTTATATAAGATTTGTATTTTAATTTTTTTCTTCAGAAGACACAATTTGGATTTGTTACTTATAAAATATTAATAACTATAGTTCTAATTGATTCTTATAATTTTTAAGTGTCAAAATAAAAGATTTTTTATTTTAATAACAAGTATTTAAAGAATATCTTTTGTACCAACCTATTTGGATGTTTATCAACACCAGTGTCGTTTTCGTGAGGACTAAATATCCGTGCATCCCCACAAGGTGCTGTATTTATATACAAATGGAAATGTACCCCGGATTTTAGTTTATAAGGGTATTGCCCATCAGTATTCCTCACGAAAATCGACTGATATGCAGTGGCTAAATTTTAGGAGAAAATTGAATATAAGTAAATATATATAAATTAAATTAAAACAATAAATCTATTATGTTTAAATTTTATTCTTTTCACCAATCCACACAGGTACGCGTGAAAAGAAGTCCAATAAAACAATGCAGGTATAATTTTAGTGAGTAATTACAGTTGGGAAAGCATAAAGCCATTTTAAATTACTTACTGCCCGTCGATATCTATCTTATTTTTAGTTAAGCTTTGACTTGCAACCTTAATTGCTAAATTTTCTTTCAACGAGCTATATTGACTTGTTTTTATTTTAAAGATACGTGACAGCAATTCAAATATAAAATAATAAGCTATTAGAATTAAAAATACCTTAGTTCACCTTTGTTTTCAAACTTTCATAATGAAAACAATTTCGGTCTTGTTTTTCAGAATTTAGTTTTTTTTTTAATATTTGGAATATGTATATAATAGCTTTTGACGATACGTAATATATAAGAATTGAATTTGAAATTAGCTTTCAAATTAACTTAAAAAAATCAGAAAACTGTAATGCATGTGCATGTTTAGGGAGCACAAGATGGAATTATATATCTTACTTAAATTTTTGCCAACAAACTATTCGTTTAAATTAATGATATTCAACATTTATTATGCAATTAAATTAAATAAAATTGCATAATATTTTTGAGATATGCAAATTAAACTTAGCGTAAATCAAACAACTATACCCTGATTGCATTGGAGATCCAGTTGAGCATATAAGTACTTGAGCAGACAACGCCTGGACACTATCTCAGCATGAGAATCGTTTAGAACAGCCCCGTTCACGCTCATATGCTCGCCGCTGACACATTTTGTACCAGTTGAAACTGAAATAACCTGGTAAAGTAAAAACTTCTATTAGAACTATTCACGAAGTTTTTAAATAATTACCAACTTACTTTGGCTTCACAAAAATTCATGTTTTCGGTCATAACGATGCCCGCTAGAACCTTTCTACGTGAGTAAGCCTCCTGACCTTTAATAACTTCCATAAACTTTTCCAAAACCAGTCGCCCAATTGTATCAGCATGTATCTGCGGCAACTCCATGGAGGATGACTTATCATCGATTGGAAGAGGTACGTTCTTCTGCGGCACCACCATTGGGCTATAGGAAATGTTACACAACGATGCAAGAGCCGCTTTAGCTGCTGCATTTTTCGCTAACTTTTTGGAAGGGCCTAAAAAAAATTAATTTTCGAATTACAGCAATACATTTTCCGAGACAACGTTGATACACACCTGTGCCGTCAAATTTTTTTTCGTTTATTGTGACTGTCATTTTGAACCGACAATTATTCTGAGCTCCGTCAATATTAATGCACTCAAAATTAACGTCATTAAACAACTCATAAAGAAGCATTACGGGTCCTTTATCTGGAACCTTTTTTTGTCCATCAACAGTAATAGCACTCTTGCTGACATCTGGCGACAAAAATAAAGTTAGTAGAAATTGTTTATTTCTGATATTGTTAAGAAACTATTTCTTAGCCGTCTTAACTTATCTCACACGCAACAATGTTCTCCAACCATTTGGGAAAAAAACGCAAGGAAAAAAATAAAAACGAATACAAGATACTCATAAAAGTGTTAGGTAACATGTAAATGCAAACAAAAATTTGCATGCCCTTACTTAAGCATCTTAATATTGGCACAATAAGTACATTTATAAATGTTTGTGGTAATTTATTTTTCTACAGCATATTAAATTTATAGGTACATACATACATAAACATTTTTAAAAAGATTTAAGCGGTTGACTTCTAAGCATACTTTTTTCTAAAGGAAAAAACACGATTATTAAAACAAAATAAAATCGATATTTAAAATAAGACTTTTTTGAAAAACTGTTTCGTTTGACTGAGTATGAATAGTTTAAAAAGCATACATAAAAGTTTTAGTCATAACCGACTCATAACTAAAATAATGACAAATGAATGCAAAAGTTTAAAAAACCTAATGTGCCATTAAACATTTTTGCTTAAATTACTTTTCCTTTCAAAACTGAATACATTTATGCCTTAAAATGAGCAGACCAACGAATAAGAATATCTCCTTTTTATAGAGGATTTTAATTTCGTTCAGCAGAAAAAAATATTTGTATATTATTTCGCTTATAGTTCTTATTTTACATTAAAATTATAAAAAAGGAAACTATAAAGCATGTGCTTTTAAAATAAAATGTAAAGTAAATGTTATTTAACCAACCGCAACTAAAAATGTAAATAAGATATTATAATTTTGAACATTAAAAATTTTTGACTTAAAACTTTAAAGCAATTAAAAGCCCAGTTTATAAAGGTACCATTTTGTGAGGAGGTGGGAAGGGTTTCAGTGTAAAAAACAAAAACACTTTTTTGCGACTTTTTTTTCTGATATGGATTGATCAATTTTATTTCAATTTCTCGTACATTATTTAGCGTACTTTTGACAATGTTTTTTTTTTGTGCATCATAACTCGGCTTAATTTTTTTTATAAATAAAGGATCATGAATATTAGTTAAATTATAATCGAATTGCCTCCTAAAATATAATTAATTAATTACCCTCGCAGAGCAAAAGGGTATTATAATTTCAGTCAGAAGTTTGCAACGCAGTGAAGGAGACACCTCAGACCCCATAAAGTATATATATTCTTGATCAGCATCACGATCAGAATCGGAATACGTATGTACGTCTGTCCGTTTGTCCTCCTGTCCGTTTCCGCGCAAACTAGTCTCTCAGTTCAAAAGCTATCTTGCTGAAACTTTCACAAAAGGTGTTTAGCTATTGCACGCAGTATATAAGTCGGAACGGGCCATATCGGCCGACTATATCAGATAGCTCACATACGAGAGAATGAAATAAAAAATTCGCACGCCGTTTATTTGATCAGATCGTCTTGATTTCTTCAAGATGGCGTTTTCTACCTGCTATTAAATTTCGGATTAAATTTGATCAAAATCGGATAACTCTATCATATAGCTGCCATAGAAAGATCGAAAAATATTAGGTTGTTTGGTAATGACATACTGGTTTCTTTATTGATTTCTGACGACGATTTTAACATAGTTAGCATTGTCCGATTTAAGTGCGATTAAGTGCGAAAAAATTTTGCATGGCCAAAAACAGATGGTAATCGCTTGGGGCAATGTCCGGAATATAAGGTGGATGCATTAACACCTCCCAACCAAGCTCCCGTAGCTTGTGACGTGTCACCAAAGATGTATGGGGCCTGGCGTTGTCATGATGGAACACAACGCCCTTACGATTCACCATGGCTGGCCGCTTCTGTTCAAGTGCAATCTTCAATCGCTCCAGTGGTTCACAGTAGAGGTCAGAATTGATGGTTTGGCCATAGGGCAACACTTCATAATGGATAATTCCTCTGATATCCCACCATACACTCAGCAACAACTTCTGAGCCGTCAATCCTGGCTTTGCCACCGTTTGAGACGACTCACTGTGCATCGACCAGGATCTTTTACGCTTTATGTTGTCATATGTGATCCATTTTTCATCACCAGTGACTAACCGATCCAGAAATGAGTCGAGTTTATTACGGTGCAACAAAGATTCGCAGATTGATACACGGTTGAAAAGGTTTTTTTGGGATAACTCATGAGGCACCCATACATAGAGCTTTTTTATTAAATTTTTCGACTTTAAATGCCTATGGACGGTTTCCGTGCTTAGTTGCAGCTCCTCTGCGATGGTTCTAATAGTCACATGACGATCTCGATCCACTATTTCCATAATTTTATCCGTATCAACAGTCACTGGTCGTCCGGAAAGCTTGGGTGTTTCGGTATCAAAATTGCCACTTCGGAATCGCCTAAACCACTGTTCGGCGGTTTGAATCGAAAGTTTGTTATCTCCTAAGACAGCAATAATCTGTCTGCGATATTCCGCAGCAGTTTTTTCCTGTGCGAAATAAAATTTCAAAATTGCCCGAATTTCTGCGTTTGTGAACTCCATTTCAATCGCTTGTAATTTTTTAACGTAGAAGCTCATGTAAGCAAACTATATGTCATTTTAAAGGTGATGCCAATACCTTTCAAACGATATACAGCATTGCCGATTATATTTGACTTCACAAGCGAAGCCCGAAATTTGAATGTAAAAACCGGTATGTCATTATCAAACAACCAATACATATAGAATTAATGGAAATAAATTGATAACATCGTTTTTTTTATCCCACGAGCACGGTTTTTGGTTTGAGAAAAAAGTTTCATAAAAATCGGTCAACTATATGTTATAGCTCCCATAGAAAAGATCAAAAAATATATATACATATAAATAATGGAAAAAAATTATAGCATCGTTGTTTTTATTCCCACGAGCATGATTTTCAAAATATGGAGTCTGTTAATAACCGTTGAATCGAGAAATTCGATTTCATTACAATCGGACAACGTTATCATATAGCTGCCATAGGAAGGATCGAAAAATCGATATAGAAATAACGGAAATAAAATTATAACATCGTTGTTTTTATCAGATATTTTTGGAATATAAAGTTTTCTAACGACTATTGAATTACGAATTAAATTTGATCGAAATCGGACAACTATATCATATAGCTCCCATATGAATAGAAAAATCGTCTTAGCTTTAATGTTGTTTAACCTTTACGCATTTTGTTCGACATATTTGATGACTGCAAGGGTATATAAGCTTCGGCTTGCCGAAGCTAGCTTCCTTTCTTGTTTTTTTTTTTTTTTAATTTAAATTTAAAACTGATGACTTTTACGAAAAAATCCGCCATTTTGCAAGTGAGAAACACCCGTAATTTAAACAAATTTGTACTAACTGTTGTAGGGGGAGTCTTTTTGTCTCTTATGTCGAGTTATTTTTAAATGGCAGTAAACACAGACTTCAAAAAAGTATTAAAATTTTGGAAAAAATCGTCTAAAATTAGATCTGATAAAAGACAGGAGATTAATGAGACAATACCTTTACAAATATTGCTGATATCGGCGTACAATATATCAAAGGGTCATCCAATGCCATTATAAATTAGAGTAATAAATAAACTAAAATATTCAACAAAAAAAGACAAAAAAAAAAAAAAACTAATACTTGCTCTGACTCATGCAAAACTTTTGAAGACGCAACGTGGGGTGTTCAAGCGAGGTAAGGTTGGATTTCTTTTCAGTCAATTCCGTCTCAATATTTTCGACCAGTTGCCTATTGGACAAATTTTCAATACCATTTTCAAGATGTTCATCGCTGGTAAAGTCCAAATTGCTCGATGGCTTCAACGGCGACAAAACTGCTCCGTCCTTAAATTGTATAAAGCTCCGTAGTGCAGTCGCTGCTGCTTCGATGCGAGCAACTTTTTTACTGCGACCCTGGCCCATGTATTTCTGCCCATCAACCTATGAATTAATTAGAGAAATGTTGTTCAAATGAAATAAACGATTTGTTTTTATCGTATTTTTAAACCGACAGGATCTCAAAAATAATTTAGATTTGTGTCAAAAGATACGTGAGCACTAGAACAGGTGCAAATATCCCAACAACATTAATGAATTGCAATTGCAATTAAGATCATTGGCGGGAAACGTGAATTATTTAAAAAAAATTTTTTTTTTTTTTAATTATTCCAAAATTGCTTAAGTCTAATATATCTGACCTCAACGGATATTGTAAATAAAGGTGCGTGCACCGGACCAGTCTGAGACTCCAATTCGTAATTCAGCCCATGTCTTAATTCATTCAGCATTGCCACTGTATTTTTCGGCTGCGGAATGATCTTCTTGCAGATTTTCTTTTTTGGCGATACTGTAAAAAATAAAAACGCAGCTTTGAATTAATTTTTGTTTTAAAAATTGGATATGGTATCAATTTAGAGGTTCCCAATGTAAGCCATTAACTCTAAAAGCAAAACTTACCACCGGCATATTTTGGCATCTCATAGCGTCGTTTTTGCGGAGATTTTCGGTTATAGCCATTCATGTTGACCTCAGTTGGTGCATTTACCGGCTATATATAAAAGAAAATTCAATCGCATTTATAACATTCGGGCTTTGTAGTGTTTAATACTTTACAATTAGAACGAACTAAAAGCATTCAAAAATCCTTTAAAGGATTTTTATTTTGTGTATGCATGTAGTATTTTAAGTTCTATGATGAATGCTCTTGCCTGTCTGCGTTTTAAAAAAATGTAAGACTTATCAGATGTCCGAGCTTTAATGAAAATCTAGTTATTATACCCTTGCAGAGCAAAAGGGTATTATAATTTCAGTCAGATGTTTGCAACGCAGTGAAGGAGACACCTCAGACCCCATAAAGTATATATATTCTTGATCAGCATCACGAGTAGAATCAGAATACGTCTGTACGTCTGTCCGTCTGGCCGTCTGTCCGTCTGTCTGTTTCTCTTCAAACTAGTCTCTCAGTTTTAAAGCTATCTTGCTGAAACTTTCCCAAAAGGTGTGTAGGTATTGCACGCAGTATATAAGTCGGAACGGGCCGGATCGGCCGACTATATCGGATAGCTCCTATACGAGAGAATGAAATAAAAAATTCTCACGCCGTTGTTTTTGATCAGATCGACTTGAATTCTTCAAGATGGCGTTTTCTAACTGTTATTGAATTTCGGATTAAATTTGAACAAAATCGGAAAACTCTATCATATAGCTGCCATAGGAGAGATCGAAAAATATATATAGAATTAATGGAAATAAATTGATAGCATCGCTATTTTTTATCCCACGAGCATGATTTTTTGAGTTTCAAGTTTTTTAACTAGCCTTGATTTATAAAAAAAATTTCATAGAAATCGGACAACTATATCATATAGCTGCCATAAGAAAGATCGAAAAATCTATATATAATTAACGGAAATAAAATGATAACATTGTTATTTCTTATCAGAAAATCATGATTTTTGGAATATAGAGTTTTCTAACGACTCTTGAATAGCAAATAAAATTTCATCACAATCGGACAACTATATCATATAGCGGCCATATGAACAATAGTCAAAAATATGGAAAACTAATAGAAAAGTCGTCGTAGCTTCGATGTTCTTTAGCCTTTGTGTATTCTGTTTGAAATATTTGATGACTGCAAGGGTATATAAGCTTCGGCTTGCCGAAGCTAGCTTCCTTTCTTGTCTTTGAAATAAATTTGAAAGAATTCGGTATTTCCCTTACCGGGTGTTTTACTTGAATCGATAAAATGAATTTGTAATAGAATGACTACATACATACACACAATTTTTGGATTTTTACAATATTACGCACAACAACGTTGATACAACATTGACAGTTAAAACAAAACGATTGTAACACAACAGTACAACAGTGGGCTTAGATATAATTTTATTTCTCGCACTTCCTGGTCAAACCTATCTAGTCAAGCTACTGTGCTTTAAGAAGTTCCTTGGTAATCATATAACAAGATATGACGTTGATATTTGCGAAAGAAGAAGACCGGATTTAAGATTTTGGACTTACACTTCCAGAGACTGATGGAAACGTAACAGGTCGTTTTCCACAAAATCGCGACCTACTGCACACAAAACTTGATTCAGCAAAAAACTGCTGACGCTGGTAGGATTTATAAAATCTTGGGATACGCATTGCATAGTTACATGCTTTATAGCAAGCATGTTTTGGCTTATAAGATATTGAATACATTATTGTCAACTTTTCTACTACTTTTAAATAAATTAAACAACGAGCGAAGGGACTTTTAAGACTGTACACAACTTGGCGACTGATGACTTTCGAGTTTCCCGGCTAAGCACTGACATTTAACTGACAACGACAAAAGCAAACTGCAGCTAATTTTATAAAAGGAACTGCACTTATGAAAACTTTTTTTTTTGTGTACATATGTAAAACATATGCTTATACGTGTATAGATATTTTTGCGGCACTAGCTGCTTGTTTCGAAGAGGTCGGTTTTTATATACCCTTTTAAAGCGGAGAGACATTTATATGAGTCTAAATCTAAATTTTAGATTTAACATTTTACTATTTATATGTAGAATATAAAAATTTCTAGTTCATTTGGTAGTAATATGTAAAATTTATTGTTTTTATTCATATGTTCAATATGATTTGGACTTGTACTAAAGGTATCGCTTTTTTATGTATCTCAAAAGACGGTGCATGTCGAAAATTTAGATAGTTGGGCGCTGATACAAATCTTGTAGACTACTAGACAGATTTTGCCATACTTGTGAAGTCGAATTACCAACCCAGCAGCAATAAAATTTGGATGCCGGTGGAGCGATTATTGCTGCAGCAGCTGCACCACAAACGCAGAGACGCATGAGTTGCATTTGCATACAAAAATCTGCAGTAATCAAAAACATTTTTAAAATAAATACGTTGTATGAGTGAAAAATTCTATACTCCGGGATATACATTAAAAATTTTTTTTAAATTATATTTTTGGGTTAAGTTTTGAAAGATAGACGCTTACACTCTTAAAGTTTAATTATATTGTAATACTTAGGAGGAATGCAGCACGTATCAAAATGTTATAATATTTTAAATTGGTTAGCAACCACAGAAAATAAGCTATTAGTAATAGTATATTATCTCGAAATCAAAGAAGTGAAACAAAGAAAAAGTCTAGGTTATTCCTAAATTTTTGATGCATGTGTTGATTTGCATTTTGCAAATAAATAAGTTGCAAAAATGTGTGAGTGTTAAAATTCTAAACTTCGAGATATGCATTAGAATTTTTTAAATTATATTTTTGTTTAAGAAGTGGATCAATAAAAACTCTTAAGGCTCTAGATTTGTTTATTTTTAATGTTTTTAACATTTCAAATTTGTTGCCAAATATTTTTACAAAGAACACCGCACCTGTGTGTCGAGTGTCATTTGTCGTACTAGGGATGGTGAACATTGATAGTCTAATAAATCAAGATTAGCTAACTCTTCTGTTTATGAATATCAAGCATTTGTTTTTCAATTTAATCAGCAACTCGGGCCCAAACAGCGTCGGCATACCGAAGCTTTTATACCCTTGCATTTGAAACTACAATTTCTAAAATCGTTTGTCAAGATTTGACCTACTGTTTGTCAAACACAATGTCAAATTTTACGCATACTTGTATAGTACTTCTCTAAATCAATATGTTAGGAAGCAAAATGTTATTACATAAGTTTTTAATTTTTTAATGTTGTCAGATTTGCACAATTTTTTTGTATTCCTAAATGTGTAGTAAAGATGTGAATCCAAATATTCCATTAACTTTCAGTTAATTATTTAATAGTTCTTTGGAAGCTATATGAGAATTAAGGCGTGGTTGAAATCTACTTTATCCCCAAGAATCTTTTTGTATGCTAAAATAAAATTTGTCGCTGGTCTGTTGCATTGCCAAACACTTTAAGAACTACATTAAATATTTTGGCCATTTCCAATATTGTTGTCAAATTAATAATCAATAATCAATAAGCCAATATCCAATAAAATTTAAAAATAATACTCTATTAAACAAATTATTGAACGTTTTGCATCAGACTGGGAAACATCTATTTTATTTTAATGACGTCGTACCATATCAGAAAACTACCTCTCATTTGCCGAAAGTTGCATTGTAATTCTTATAAGAACAGAATCATTCTGATCTTCACCAGGCAAGTCAAGGCACCCCATAAATTAAATTACAGTAGAATCCGCTTATAGCGACTTTCAAGGGACCGACGATTTTTCGTCATTATACCCGGAAGACGCACTAAGCAGAAGGATTTAAGTGTATAAGTCTGTCTGGGGACCAATCAAGCCATCGAGTTACCCGGACGGACACTATAAGCGGAGTCGTTATAACAGGATTCTACTGTATATCATTTTAGCATCTTTGGTTCACTATAGCAAACTACTATTCCCAAACTTGAACAGAAAACTGTTTGTTTTGTCAAAAAAGATCATGGGTTACCATTAGCAAAACAGAAATAAAGAGTGTTGTCTAGGTGGAAATTCAACGTCCTATATGAGCCATAATTTCCAACAATATTTAACATATCTGTCCTAAAATGTTGGATCATGCAATACTGAATATCCAACATCAAAAGAAAACTTATGACTGAAAATATTAAAATCGTTTTAAAATTATCAATGTTACACACAAAAGTTTTAGGCAAACCTATCATGCATTCAATGTGCGACAATTTACAACTAAATATATGCACATAAAAAATTCATAAATAAATCTATTTTTAATAATTTTTTCTACTTACATGCTGGGGAGAATTGCTATTTGCGCTGTTTAACATGATTCTGAAATCGAATTTCACGTACTTTATATCTTGGTGATATCTGTTGTGCTATTGTTATGGTGATCAAAACGAGTGTGATGAGGACAATACAAATATCCAGAAAACTAACACTAATCTTATGCGGAAGCTGTTTTTTAAAAACATAAAAATGTAAGGCAATGTCGAATTAATTATTAAAACCAAATATAATATAGACTTTCTTGTTAAGACACAAGCCCAATTTGCATTTGAGCACATACATATGTATGGGGGTTTGTTTTCTATTTTTTCTCGATTTATTCCAGTTGCTTGATTTTGGTCAAAAAATAAGTGTCTCTGTCAAATCAATTTTATTTCAACAACATAAAGTATGAACGTATCTACCAATGCTTTACAAAGTTAAAAAAAAAAAACAGTATTTACCAAAGTCATACAAAAGTCCTATTGCGACTGCAACAAAAAAATGTCAAGAAATGCGGCAATTGCTATTTTTTTAATTTTCTCTTCAGGAAATTGTTAATATTCGAAAGAATTGGCATGCGTACATTCACATGACTGCAACATTAAGCATATATAAAAGTAATACATATGTTTACTCGTATGTTTAAGTTACACGAATCAATCGATTTTCGTATGTTCTCGTGGCGAATTGGGACCGCCATGCGGACAACAGCCATTGACCATCGCCAGGCCAAAAGTGCATTATATACGATATACAATGCAACGTACTTTGTGGCACATTAGGTAATTATACGTTTGAACTAATAGATATCTAAAGGTACGTATTTTCTCACATGTTCTGAAAAAGTCATGAATTAAGAGCGGGGATGCGAACGTCATGAAAATTCGATTCAATTAGCCGCTTTTGCAAATCTTTTCCTTAGTGGACGTGAACTATTGGTTCGCTTTGGGCCGTAAAGTGTAATAGAAGTGGTCGTCGGAACGAGAGGGCCTAGATGCTGGTCGTAAAGACCCTGAGTTACGTCGCAAGTGCTTTGCACCTGCAGCTACGTAATACCCAGGATTGCGCTAAGGCGTCCGCAATCCTCTTTTTCCGACTACGATTACGCGCACGGTTTTATTTTCCACTGGCACGGTGGAAAGAAAAGGAATGAAGGCGATGGGGTGCACCCGAGAATACGCGTCAGCTGCTCTTATTTAGGATACCAAACGCCAAAATCGAAACCTTTATCGACTTTTTATTTGCATAAATGTCCAACACACAGCAATACATACACACGCACGGCTGCACACTGGCGTGTTTTGTGTACCGATGATTTATTCTGTTTTGGCTACTGCATACCTTTTTGCTGTGAAAGAGCTCTAATTATTGATTTTTACTTCGATGTATCGGCAGTTTCATTTGTCAAACGCCCAGCGTCCTGGCCGCCGATCTGCTTCACCCTGCACCAGTTGGGGCTTCACTTTGCGGCGTCTAGTTGTCAAAGGGGATCGGGACTTGGAAAAACATGGAGCACCGGCGAGCCTTGTCCTCACACACTGATACGGCTGGGAAAACAGTGGATTTGTTTTTCCTCGCGTCCTTTGCGGCGGATTGGGGGTCGGAAAATTGCAACCGCGCTCCACTTTTCTTTGCGTTGGAAAAAAAGCAATCGCCAGTAGCGTTGCCAGACACAAACAAAATCCAGTTTTCACTAAATTTGCCGCCCATATTATTCATCCACCTAGCAAGACATGGTTGGTTTCCCGGATGGGAAATTTCGTCCCGAAATGAATTTTTGGGAATAATAAACGTTCAGGAACATTTTTAAATTGGCTTTTATATTTTATCTGTTCAACCCAAACTTTATAATATTAATAACATTAAATATCATATTTGTAGATACGGACTACGCCGGGCAAATAAATGAACTCCTAGCAGATTGCCTAAAAAAGATTGGAGCCAATCAGACCTACAAAAATTCAGCAGGAGAAGAGGGCATGATTGACGAAATTTACAAACTACTCAAAAATACTTAATAAATAAATCAAATTAATAAAAATATCGTTTCACTATCGTAGCTTTATATTTAGCTATCATCCAAATTTTCTGGCGGTTTCTAGCTTTTTTCATATGTTACTTTAGCTTCTTTATGACCAGTAGAGTTGGCAACACTGCACTGCATTGCCAAAACAAAAATTTGAGCATTATTTTTTTCTAAATTTATATATTTCTGTTCAAGTGAAAACGCATGATTGGCAGATAAAAAAGGCTATGAAATGAGTGTATTAAAACAGCAGGGTAAGTGTTAGTGTGCAATACAAATATGTTGGTTGTTAAACAATGCGAATTGTATTTACAGAAAGGACGCCAATAGAGGTGATCCATGAGTTTGTAACCGGCGTGGATGATGGCACCATACGCCGTGATCTAGCTGACGATTGTGTCCTGAGTTTTTATAGACGTACTGTAAGGGGTCCTGCCGCAGTAACTGGATTTTTGAGAACCCGGGTGACAAATCACTATAAGCACGAGAATTTTGAGGAGGCAGCGCCTCCCAGTTTGGGCCAAGAGATAATACTGCGCGAACGTTTCGCCACAGTCTTTGAACGGAGTCGTCGTCGCCTTTATAAACAGAATGAGGAAGAGAAATCGACTGCTTTGCATCTTCATCCTGACAGCGACGATGAGGAGGTGCCTGCAACACATACCGTCCTTTTGACAACGCCCCCTCGGCCTTCCAGCTATGCACTGGACACAATAAAATATGTGGAGGCCATTGGTATGTTAAACAGACGTGAACGCTTCGTTTATGGAGGCGTGGATTTGGGCGAGTCCAGCACGGTTCACCTAACGTTGGGCTATCGACGACACCGATTGTCTGGTAGTGGAGTGCAGTACATTGAGATTTGCCTGGCTGTCTACGATCGAGGTTCCATAAGTCGTAACCAACACACTCAAGCGACTACAAGTATTCCATTCCCACGACGTGACAGTGCACGCTGCAATACAACTACGGATGACGAGGCCGAGGAGGCTGGTCCACTGCCGACGAGACGTGGCGTCTGTCGAACATTATTCACAGAAGAGAACGATACGGAAGAGGAGCAAGAGCAATTCCCGCAAGTAGGAGCTGGGGAGACACCTCAAGATGAGGCTAACTCCCCTGTAGGACCCCTCCCATCAGTTGTGATTCCCATTTGTAGTAGGTATCCGCTAAGAAAACGTCACCAAACTACCAACGACAATGAAACGACATCCAAAAGAACTCCTGGTCAGAGCCGCCTGCGTTTTTAGACAAAGTCTAGAGGACTTTAAGTTTCTGTAGCACAATTATTTTTACTCATAGGAGGGTTCCCATAGATACTTGAACACATGTTAAAAAGACCTTTTACAGCCCGACATGTGTTCTGTTAATTCAGAGTATGTATCGCATTACATAAACCTGTATATCTGAGTTGATTAAAATTCGATGTTAGTTAACTACGCCGTATATTTGTCGGGCTTCACAGTTGAATACTTCAATAAAATGTCGCCGACGTTCCAAATTGTAAACTTTTGCAAAGTTTTTTACATCTTAGTGTCAAAAACTTGATTGATATGTCCGGTTTTAAATTACTATATCATTTAACTCAATTCTCTATTGTTATGGCTCAATGTTTGATTTAAACAAGAGAGCTGCTAGCTTCGGTAGGGCGAACCTTAATATATTAGCTAATCGAACCACTACATGTGCTAACAATGTCAGCTATTTGGGGTACGGTAAAGTCATTTTTAAATTTAACATGATAAAAACAGATTTATCATTATGGTAAAATACCATATATGATTCAATTTGCTTAATGGCGGCTATAAAATATACTTGTTCATTGTACTATATGCCGAGGCATAGACATGCGTTAAAAATACCGAAATTCTGAAATTTTTTTATAGTTTTTAAATTTTTATTTGATCGATTTTCCAATTGTAGGAGATGTCTTCTTGTTGAAAACAATTATATGCTTGCCTTATTAACTTCTATAAACAAAGTTAAGTCGAAATGGCACCATAACTGTTCAATTGTATGCTGAATCCAAAGTGTAACAATCTGTATTGAAGATTTTTCTTTTCGCGTGAGTAATTCTTTGATCTATTTACATGTTAGTTGTTTAGGTTTTGTAACAAAGCTAGAATGCAAAGGTTTTCTTTGAGTGAGAAACTTTGATAACCGTGGTTTATAGAAAAAAGCCCCATTTTACATCGTTTTCAATGTGTTTATAATAAAATAACTGGTGACAGAATCTTTTTAGGTTGGTGTCAAGGAAATTTGTTCATAACTGTTCCCAGTAAGCTGTCCCATGTTTATTTTATGGCACCGTCCCAAAAAATAATAAATCTAACAAAATAAAAAAATAATAATACAACAGTTATATTATTAGGTTGTTTTACAATTTTGAAGGCTGAAAAGATTATTTAATCACTTGAAAACATTTTTTAAAAATATATATACACAAGAAATACTATTAATTATTACGTAATTGCTTCTTTACTAAAATATAAGTTATTCATCATATGAATATATTTTAATAAAATAATTAAGTAATTTAAATACCTTAATACTTTCTTATTAGGCCAACCTCATATATATTGTTATGGGTCACTAATACGCAATAAAAAACATTAGGCCATTGATGCCACCTTGAGTAATTCTTGGCTCCATGCTATAACGGCTAATACCGGCAAATTTCATACGTAGAAAAATCCAATAAATTTTCACTCCAGTTGTCGCCGTATGTGAGTGGGTGGGTGGTTCATTCCGTAGGTCTATTTTTGTACCGCCAGGGGGGAAATTTGTTGGAAAATAAAATAAAAATGCATTTGATAAAACCGGTATGACCGACGCGAAAGTCTTAAGCAGAGGGTGGTTGTAGTGCGTCGGGTAGTGCGGACGGTTCGCATTAACATAGAACATCAACAAGACAACCAAGTGGGTGTGTGGTGGGGGATTGATTTCTCTGAACCCCAACAGCAGTTCGAATCGTTAAGCTAGGGAAGAGAAAAACACAGCCTCCACCTGCAACACCGTGCTCTCTCGTGCTTGAAATTAGATTTCTGCCGTTGGCCAGAATTCGTTACGAGGTTTATGGAGGCACACGCTCTCCATCCATACAGTTATAAGATTCGCGTACACTCTAAAATCATGAAAGAAACATTAACAATGAACACAGCATAAAGTGTATTTTTTTAAATTGACAATCTTGAGTTTAAAATAGATTTACTTTAATTATTTGTAGTTATTTAAGAAAAATTTTCTCGTTAAAAAAATAATTGAAGAAAAAAATTTTAAGAAAAAACACTATGCTATAAACCATAAATCTTCCAACTCGTTTTGTTTTCGAATTTTCAATAAATTGGACTGAACAATTTTTATAAAACCACTTCCTTCGAATTATTTAGAGTGTAATTGAAAGTAGACTTGAGCCTGGCAAACCTTTGATTGGCGACAGCTGATTTATGTTGGGAGCCTTGCGACGGCACAAATAATGCTGGGATTCGGTGTTTAAGAGCGGATCTAGTTTCGTCTCTCGAAAAAATAGTCATAAATTGAATAAAACAAAAAGGGAAGCTAGCTTCGGCAAGCCGAAGCTTATATACCCTTGCAGTTATCAAATATGTCGATCCAAATGCATAAGGGCTACACAACATCGAAAGTATGCCGATTTTTCTATTCATTTTCCATATTTTCGACTATTACAGCTATGGGGTCGTCCATAAACCTCGTGACGCTAATTTTTGGCTTTTTTGACCCCCTCCCCCCTATGTGACGCATCACATATACAAATTACAACCTCCTTACAACAAAGCGTGACTCTCTGATGAACCCCCCCCACCCCCCTAGGAGCGTCACGAGGTTTATGGACGGCCCCTATGAGATATAGTTGTCCGATTTTGATACAATTTAATTCCGTAATTCAAGAGTCGTTAGAAAACTCTATATTCCTAAAATTATGCTTCTCTGATGAAAAACAACGATGTTAAAATTTTATTTCCGTTATTTCCGATCCGATTTTGATCAAATTTAATCCGAAATTCAATAGTAGTTAGAAAACGCCATCTTGAAGAAATCAAGTCGATCTAATCAAAAACAACGGCGTAAGAATTTTTTATTTCATTCTCTCGTATGGGAGCTATCCGATATAGTCTGCCGATCCGGCCCGTTTCGACTTATATACTGCCTGCAATAACTACACAACTTTAGGTAAAGTTTCAGCAAGATAGCTTCAAAACTGAGAGACTAGTTTAAAGAGAGGACAGACAGACAGAGGGACAGACGGGCAGACGGACAGACGGACAGACGAACAGACGTACAGACGTACAGACGTATTTCAATTCCGATTGTGATGCTTATCAAGAATATATATACTTTATGGGGTCTGAGATGTCTCCTTCATCTTTTCTGACTGAAATTATAATACCCTTTTGCTCTGCAAGGGTATAATGAGTCCAAAAATTACATAATTCAAATAAAAAACAAATAAAAAGTTGTCGGCACGATGCATATACAATTTTAAAACACACCAGGCCGTGTATTGAACATGCTGGAATGGCTGCTCAACCTTCCTATTCACCAAGAAAATTGTTACCTAATTTATGCTGCCTTGTCCTCAATTAGTTGCATCTGCAGCAGCCACCGCGGCGTTTGCTTGCCCCCGGGAATCGGAAGTACTATAGATATAGGGCGATTTCTCCACTTACACTTACACGACAAACCCAAAAATATTCCTCTAGCATTAAATGATACTTAACTGTTTATTTATGTTCCTGTCATCGCATCTCAGCTGCTCCGCATTTCCCCTAAAATCCCACTCCCCCTCTCAACATGGAGAACACCCATACTTTATTTTACAAGCATGCAAAATTTAAAAGACTGGGACATATTTTTGGTTAATTGAAACCTGTTGTAAATCACAAATCATATAGACGCCTGATGTGTTCCCCTTAGAATGTGATATAGAAACTGAAACTGCGGCAGATGTTGTATGTTTTTCATAATTTTTGGTCGGTAAAAGCTTATTGAGCAGCTGCTATACGGTGAGGATCGCATATCTCGGATTTGTTTTTAAGAAAAAGTCACTGTAACAATGTATACTGAGTGCATAACTACACAGCTTTTGGTAAAGTTGAACCTGAGAGACTAGTTTACATAAAAATAGACAGACGTTCACGTCTAGTTCGATTCTCTCGGTTGAGTTGATCGAGAATATAAAGTTTATTGGGTCCCTTATTGCGTTGCCATCTTCTGACTGAATTTCCCTCTGTGGAGGTATTAATGTAAAACTCAACAGATTTAAAGCTCTTCTGCTTAAAAAAACACTAAACAAAATCCATTTGTCCCAAGCATTCAACCCCATCTTCCCCCAGTTAACCCGTGAAAACCTTGTTTAGCAGACGAGCGCATTTCCAGTCCATAAACTTTGCCACCAAACTGAATTTTAAGTTGACTTCACTTGATTACTTCATTTCCGAGAGAAGGGAAAACTAATGGTAAAAATATTGTCATTGCTTTACGACAAGTGCGCATTTGTTGCCGCAGGATTTATGTATACCTTACCCTCTCTATAAATATGTATAAGTGAAAGTGTGAATGTATATATATTTTTTATGCCATATCTTCTCGACGGTTACTGTTCATTTCCAATTGTCGAGGGTGTCATTTGGTAATTGTTACAAGCTGCCGCATATTTGGACAAGTAACTCGTAGAACTTGAAAACAAACAAATGACTCGATAGACCGAAGTGGATTCGAGTCAATGGGATTGAAACCACCCTTGAGTAGTTACTGCTTCGACTGGTGGTGGCTCATCGCCCATCTTCTCTTTTGTAAGCGGATACGTAATGGGAAATGAACCCCTACTTCAAAACATGTCATTAGTTTACAGTTGTCTGATTTCCATTCATGGGTCTTGAGTATGTTGTGATCGATGATGGCATTTTCATCTGAGCATCTTCATCCCGTGGGCTTGTTGATAATGATGTTGTGCAACTATAGAAAAATTATTTCAACATATGGCAAGAATATCCCAAGGACAAGCGTTGAGTAAATAGTTTTAAGTCCATCTCGCCGAAACTATACCACAAGTCTTATTGCTATCACAGACATACGCAATATAAAGCTGAAACGGCAGAGATTAGAAAACCAACAAATATTAATCAAAATGTTATCTTAAACATTATCAGCTTAAAAACTCGGAAGGATATTTTTTAAATACCGTTAAAATTATTAAAAAATGTCGTGTCCATGGCCGGATTGCTAACGTGCTTAAATGAGGTGTCACCGAAAAAAATGCCTAACATTAAACGCATTAATATTAGATAAGTATATACCAATATAAAAGACATTCAAAAATAAAAACATGGTTCTGTTTGATTAAAAAAATATTATTAAAAATATTTCTCTCAAAACCGACTAAATAAACAGCTAATCGAATTAAATGCAGTCATTCCCCCTAAAGCAGTTCCCCCGCTATAACTAATTAATGTCAGTCGTCTGGGAATGCCTCAGTCAGAGTTCTAGT